TACAACAGTGGCTCCATGCAGTATTTGCCCTTTTGTGACTGAGATACTTCACTCAGCATAATGTCCTCCAGGGTCACCCATTTTGAATAATATTATAGGAGTTCCTTGTTTTTCAGTGCAACATAGTATTCCATTGTGCGAATATACCACAGTTCTTTTATCCATTCGTTTGTTGATGGGCACTTAGGTTGTTTCCAACTCCTTGCTAGGGTAGCTGAGAGAGATAGCTGAAAGAGCAAGAACATGAAGCAGGGCCAGAAGCTGAACGGAGATGTGTGTGGTGTGGGGGATGGTACCCACAGCCACATGGCTTCACTGTTGAAGGCTCAAACATTGTTGGTGTTGGTGTGTCTGCAGCTGGGGGAGACTCCCGGTGTCCTGTGGAGTTCCTTTGTCCTAGAGTGCTTATAATTAATGTGCTAGTTCCTTGCTGATCTCTGTCCCTCCCACCAATCAGCACAACTGATTTAAACAGCGTTATAAGTTAGTGTCATTTTCATGGAGTTACCTTGTCCAGTATCTTTCTCTGGTTTCTGGATTAGTTCTCTAAGAAAAGGGAATAACTTTCCTCAGGCTTGAGGTTTGAAAAGTTCACAACTGTTTTCCTCATAAAATTTTAAGAGAAGTTTCCTGGAAAATAGAAAAAAGTTTTCTCTTTTATATGAATTGTGGTAGAGCCATTTATTGTAAGAGTCTTTAAGTAGCTTCTACATAGGTGTTTGTCTGAGGAATGAGCAGTAGGGTATTGTAGAGAGTGGCTGACGACACATAAAAATACAGTAATTAAACCCAATAGTCCTTTTGTGGCTGGGGAAAGATACGCATGGATTTGAAATAATGGACTTGGAAGAAACATTTTCAAGTCCTAGGTCAGGAATTACAAAGTAGCTGCTACTTGCTCTTTCATCCTACTCTTCTTTTTTCCTAAATAATTATTCTTAATGCTCTTTATATTAAGACTAGAGAGCTCTGGTGGCCTGGTGGTGAGAAGCTGCACAGTAATCCTAAAGAAATGTGTGGTTCGAATTGATCAGCCGGTTAGTAGGAGAAAGATCTCCTCCTGTGTCATTAACTGCTTCTCAAAATCCACCAGAGGGTCAGCTATGGGTTGATTCTGATTCGACACAACAGCAACAGCATATTGAGACTGAAAAAGATTTTGCTTGTATTTTAATTAAAATGGAGTTATACTTAAACAAGACTGAAAGATTCAAAGAAAACAATATATGACCCCTGTAAAACACTGATGAGGCAAAATGGCTGCTACTTATTTTTACAGTGAGAATAAATATCTAAATTTGAGTTTTGTTTTTGTTTTTAAAGTTTTTCTTTTCCCCACATAGAATGTTAAGAAAAGACAGGTGGATCATCCTGATACTTGAACAAAAACTTTAAACTAGCTTGGATCGAGAGAAAGTATATAAATGAAACCCATCAAAAAAGAGAGGGAATTCATACTTAATCAGAATACATTTGTTCTGTTAATTACCTTGTTTATTGAGTATGGTACATTGATATTACAAGCAACAGTATTCTACTGGAGCTTGACGTTCTGTTGTATTATCACTTTTGTTAGTATGAGAAAAATGTGGTAGTAGAGACAAGATTTGTTGGAAATGTGAACCCTTTTGTCTTGCTGGTGATTGTTTGCTACTGAAGATCATCCAAACCTGTCAGGCCAATTCAGGGTTTTTTTGTTTCTGTTTTTCAGGGTCGACATGTTAAAACCGGTCAGCTGGCAGCCATCAAAGTTATGGATGTTACAGAGGTAAGGTTGGGGTGTGTGAGTTTTTAAATAAGTTGTTAGATAAAATACCAGGACCCCTCCTCACCCCTCCCTCTTGTGTTTGGAAAAGGTAATTAGAAGCAAATTGCCCTCCTGTGATACTGTATTTCATAAAGTCCAAGAGACTGGTTGACTTAAATCGTTGCAGATGTCCCCAAGTAACTAAGAATCAGTAGCGTTTCTTTTTAAAAGACACATCTGAGTGATGTCATCCTTGGCAACATAATGGCCCATAATTGGAAACATCACTAATGGAAAAGGAAAGAGTTGTGTAGGGATCATGAAGGTCATGTGGATGGGGAGATTGAGGGCTGTGGGGTGGGGAAAGGCATCTCTAGAGTATTGGGCCACATTTGTGCCATTTCTTTTATTTTTAACACGGGGAAAGAAAACAGATCCAGCGAAGTTCCCAGAGGTTTGAAAACAGAAACATCTGCTAGAATGCTGAGCAGATTGTTGGCAAAATTTAGTAGCAAAAAATAGTTCTTGAAATGGTCGCATGAGGATTTACCGTGCAGCTTTGAGATGGGAAAGAGGAGAAATTAGCCTAGACAAAAAGTGTGTGTGCATGTCTGTGTGTGTGCATGTACATATATACATGGGTCTGTGTTTATTTTTAAATAGTTGTAGATTACATTGAATTACATTTATCTTGTTTTTGTCTGAAATTGTACTTCATGCTCTCATGATTGCTTCATTTTGAAAAGGATTCCACATCATTGATTCTAGAAAACAGCCAGAAGCCTTGGATATTGGAGTATCTTTTTAAAAAATTAAACGATAATGTCTCCAAATGTGGACTGTATGGAGGGGGAGCCAATGGCTGCACTTAAACTTACCTTAGTTGTAGAGTTGATAGCTAGAGTCCTCCTCTGCCTTATTCTTTAAAATAGGGTCATCTCCAGGTTGCATGTTCAATTCCGCCATGCCCCTTTCCTCCTTTGATACTTAACGGTAAGAATTCTAAAACATTGGCATCTCTTAACTTTAGGACAGTTGATAAAAACTTTAAACAAATATTTGAAAATTGGGTATTTTGTGAGGTGAGCGCGCTTTTTCTCCTTTGTTGAAGAGGACAGTGAAGGCTTGTAATGGATTGTCTCCCTTATGGCGTGATTGACTTCATGTCTCCATGCCTGCTGTTGTCCATGTAACTAGTGCCTTGCTCAGAAGGGTGGTTGCTGAAGCCTTCATTCATTCTCTGTCCACGTACTAAAAAAACACTTCCTGATTTGTTTACCATCAGGCTTGACATAACAATTTTTTTTTTTATTTTATTTTTATTTTGTGTGCGTGTACCGTCAAATCAGATCTGACTGGTACAGGAGGATATTGCGCCTCCTTCTCCGGCAGAGCATCTGGTGGATTCGAACCGTGTTCCTCTGGGAGTGCAGTGCAGCTTCTTGCCACTAGGCCACCAGAGCTCCCCTGACATAACAATTTTTGCGTTTTCTGAAGCATTTGGAAGTCCTGAGAGGTCAGTTTCCTTTTTACGATGTCCCGCAGCCTTACTGCCCTTGCTGACAACAGCTGTTGGTGGTCAGCCAGGCTATGTTTTCTTTTACATCTCAGATGGAATCTAAATAGGATTTGTCCTCTCTGTAGAGATTCTCTTCCTATAAGCCTGGTTCTAATTATAAATGTGCAATGCACGATCTCTTAAAAGAAGTATTGAGTTACAGGATATTTTAAAGAAAATTCTTTCAGTTCTTTCACCTTATAATAACCATTGTCGATGCTTTGGTATATTTCCTTTCATTTGTTTCATTATGAACAAACTAAAAAATTCACACACACTCGATGTTTTGAAGTCCACTTTTGTTCATTTGCATGTAAGAGATATTTCCTTACCTGAACAGCTGGTCCTGGTGGACAAGTGATTGATAAAAATATTTGCAGGACTGCTTTAAAAATAATTATGCACAACCCATGTGTTCAGGTAAAAGGAAAACCAGATGGCGAGTCTTTAGAACAAACACAGACTCAATCATCCATTCACATATTGGCCTCTCAGTAATGTCTCCGTGCACTGTATTCATGCAGTGACCTCTGCTGTAGCTCGGGGCAGTCAGAACCAGAGCAAGTGTTGATTGTGGAAAGACTATCTGGTGCAGCTGGCACCCTGGGAAACAGGCTGGGGCCTGCCCTCCTTATCTGGGACCTCTGGGACCTTATGTCATGGGCATTGTTTTGGGGGAGGGACAGAGAAGTAGGAGGGAACAGGTTGATAGGAGGGAGATTTGCAGCCACTGCTTGGGGTTTCACATCTAGTTAGAAATATTGTGTGAATGAGAGCCTGATAAGGATTGATTTCTTACTTCACACAATTTGGCTGTAGGACCAAAAGGTGTGAATGTTAATTTTGAGCGGGGGTAGGGAATGGAGTGTGGGGAGTGGGGATGTGTGAGAAGATTCACGGAATCTGCTGATTCCACAGTCTGCTCCTTAGCTGTAATCAGGAGGCATCACTGCTAAGTACTCCTCTGTTTTGAAGGCCTGGAGGGCGGTGGAGAGGTGGGGGTGGTGGTGTGGAGTGAACAGCAGGGCTTCTCTTCTAGTTCTCAGCTGTGAGAAGTCCTGCCTGATTTGAACTCTAGAGCTTGACTGCTAAGGTACAAGAATGTAGATCCTTTCCTCCAGCTTCATGTAATTTGTGTGAACCTGAAAAGCATAACCACCTGAAAAATTCAGATTTTATTTTAGGTAAGGTGACTAAGATTACACAGAGAACTAATACGAGACATCTTAAAATCTTTTCTGTTTCTCAAATTTTAACAAATGAGAATAATCTTTAGAAATTTGAAGGTCTGTTCTAAGCTGTCACGTGCTACTTTTTTTAGTACAGTGACTGTATATTTCTTCCATCTTCTTTTGATGCTTCCTGGATGGTTCAAGGTTTTACCCATAGAATCTCTCAGTATAGCAACTTGAGGCTTGAATTTGTTTTTCTAGTCTTTTAGCTTGAGAGATGCAAATTCTCCCCTTTTTATTCTCCAGTTCCAGCTCTTTGCACATTCCGTAAGAATACATTGCTTTGTCCTGTCAAGCCGCCCTTTGAAATCTGTTTAACTCTTACTTCAGCATCTCTTCCCTTTGCCTTTGTCTTCTCAATGCTCTAGTGGATTTTCAGATTCTCATGTCCATTTGGTCTTGTCCTCCTCTTCTGTCATGGTCCCCTTTTAGTTTCTTAAAGGATTATATTTTTGATGTTACCTCATAATTTATCTGGATTTGGTCATCAGTGTTTGAGAACCTCTTCAAAATACTAAGGACCAGTCATGCCAGTTTAAAGACTAAAGTGTGCCTGATTCAGGCCATAGTCTTATTAGTCACTTGCTGTGTGCAACTAAGGGCTGGACAGTGAATAAGGAAAGCAAAAGAATTGAGAGCTTAAAATTGGGAGTTAGAGAAGAATACTGAATATAAAAAAAAAAAGCAACAACAACACAAATCTCCCGCCACCCCACAAAAAAACCCACAAAAAACCAAAAAACTCCCAAACAAACCGAAAGATAGGTCTTGGGGAAAGTGCAGCCAGAGGACTCCACGGAGGAAGCGAGGACAGTGAAACTTCATCCTACATTGGGCGTATTTTTAAGTGGGGCTATTCCTTTGAAATGGACATGATGTTTGGAAAAGTGAAGGCAAGGAAAACCCTCATTGAGATGAATTGACACAATGACTGCAGCTATGGGTTCAGGTATGTCAGATGATGAAGATGGAACAGGATAGGACGGGGTTCAGATTTGTTTTTTATAAGGTCACTATAAATTGCACTGGACTCAATGGCACCTAACAACAGTAGTTTTTGAGCTATCAAGACTTTAGTAGCCTTTTGGGTAGAGGGTGTGTTGCTAACCCAAAGGAACCTTTCTGACAGTTTGAATCCACCAGTGGCTCTGAGGGAGAAAACTAGGTAATCTGCTCTGTGCGACTTAAGGTGTCTGCAGCCCAGCTCGAGGGTTATCTAGGAGTCTTTTCCAACTTGATAGCAATAAGATTGAGGGTTTGGGCTTTTTATTTTTTTTTTAATTTTTTTTCAAGAAAACATGCAGTTTATTGGATTGATTTTGGGACAGGTTAAACAGCATTTATAGATATGCTCAAAACAGACTTCAAACCATGCCCTTGCTGATTTATCACCCTGCTGAGAATTTGCATTTTCGAGCCAGATAAACCAAATGAGCATCTACATTTTAACGAGAACCCCAGGTGATAGCCTCTGCCTGTCCTCTACAAAGAGACAGAATATCTCCCATGTGGTCAACATGTATTTGAGCTAACATGCGGTGGTGACTCCACCCTCTCTCAGAGATTCCATGCTTCATCAGGGAGAAGCAGTGCAGGTATACACCACAGACAAAGCAGAGGCCAGGACAGGTGTCTCAAGTCTTAACAATTTTACCACATTTTCAGTTGAGGGAGGAGCATATAATAATGAATGTACTATTCTTGTCTAGACTGACAGTTCGAACAAAGGAAAGAGAGAGAGAGGGCTCCTTGTGGGCCTTATGACCTATTGTTCCCTGACAGCCAGTGAAATGCTGCAGGCCTTATAGCTTGGTACAGGCTTACTCAATTCCAGGCAGCTAACTGGTGGCATTTTCCTCCCGGACCGTCTGTCATGTGTTCCTCTGACAGGCTCTTCATAGAATCTCCCCGGCTGTCAGGGTGAGACACAAGTGCATCCATATGATCACATTCAGCTGTCAGGCTTTGACAGCATTTTTTTTTTCTGTTCTCCTCTGAGTTTCTTTTAAGAAGCCCTGGTGGCATAGTGGTCAGGACATTCACATGCCAACCAAAAGGTCTGTGGTACAAAGCCACCAGCTGCTCTGTAGGAGAAAGATGAGACAATCTAGTTATGTAAAGATTTATAGCCTTGGAAATCCCATGGGGCAGTTTGCCTCATCAAGAAAACAAATGTCATAATAGAGGGAGAGCGATTAAAACTCTTTACGTGATTTCATTTTGCTTGGATC